GATCTGTGAGGTTCCAGAAGGATGGTATTTCTAAGCCAGCCTTGGACCCCTGATATCAGCTCTTGTGTGGATTTTAGGTGCCAATCCATCCGGGCACCAATAACCAGGTCTACTCGACAGCAAGCAGACGCGGGTCTAGAACACGGTCCCTGGGCTCCACTCCCTCCACCCACTCCTAGCGCTTTCCAAGTCCTGATTTCCTTTTCCCGACACGGAATCAAATTCTATTCAAATTACCTGAATTCAACTGATTGTAACAGAGAGTAAAATTATGAAAATCACTTGGAGGAGATTCCCAGGTAGCCCTTCCATGTGTTGCATCGACAGAGTCACAGGTAACATTCGAAGGCTTTTCTGGAGCTGTGGAAAAAATGAGAATAAACTATAAACCTGAAGCCAGGTGGTGAAAGACTCTCTGTATTGTGAGCATGCAGTCTGAATGGCCATGTTTTAATTAATCCTGAATTAATAATGACACTTATATTATTTTAAATATAGATTTGTATTGATTTCAGAGAGATGGGAGAGGGATAGAGGGATAGACACATCCATGATGAGAGAGAATCATGGATTGGCTGCCTCCTGCACGCCCCGCACTGGGGACCGAGTCCACAACCCAGGCATGTGCCCTTGACCGGAATCGAACCCTGACCTCCTGGTTCATAGGTCGATGCCTCTATCCACTGAGCCAAACCGATCAGGGCTACACACCTATTTTTAAGAAGGGAAATGGTTGAAGCAGAGCTGCTTTTCATAGGCTTACCCACACAAGCAGTGTCGAAGCTCTGATGACAGAAGCGTCTTTGGTTATGTGAACCTATATCCTGCTTCCCAGCACATGTGCCAAGTATAGGACCAGGAGAACCAGCTTGGCCATTGACCAGCTGTGTGATCTCACCTCAGCTCTTTGACCCCCTTGGTGCTGTCTTTGTAAATTGAGGGGGGAGGGGAGGGGAGGGGAGGGGAGGATGCTGGGAAACCGAAGGCCTGCGTCCAATCCACATCCTCCTTCCTGGATGAGCTGCCATTGTCCTGGGGGCTCCCACCAGGCGGGACCCTTCGGGAGCAGCTGCTACTGGTCTCTGTTTGCTGCGACGTCACAGAAATGCAGGACCCGGACACATGCATGAAGCTCAAGGCCCCGGACTCTTGCGGCCACCAGCTCAGGGACGCTGAGAAGGTCACGGCCACCCCTGCCCAGCACAGACCTCCTTCCCGAGCCCGGCGCCAGGGAGGGCCTCTGGGGCTGCAGATGCCGCCTGGAGCGCGGTGTCTCCGGTGCCAGGGCCCATGGAGCTGCCGGTCCCCTCGGGGCAGGTCTAGTCTGGCCCCGGGGACCATGGAGACGGCGGACAGGTGGCGAGAGCCAGAGGCCATTGAAAGGAAACCCCGAATGGACGATAAGACGCGGACGAAATACTTTTGAGGAATTGCTCGGCCAGATGAGCAGAGGTGAATGCTTTGCGAGGGAGACACTACCATGTGCCGATGGCGCTTACTCCTCTGGGCGACAAAGAAAGCCACAGACAATGGGTATTTAATCTAAGTTTGACGAGGCACCTTACGGCCCGAAAGCTTACACGTTGTCCGCATGATAAGCCCTCACTCATGCTTTGTGGTGTGTTTTGTTTTGTGTTTCATCATTCTTATGATTCTATCTGAAGAACCCAGAGAGCCCAGGGAATGTTGTTAAATTATTGTGCTTTCAACGATTATACACCCGAGATGTAAGGAAATGGGCCGGTCCTTGTCCTTGCCAAACGAAGCGTGAAGCCAGCTGCACCGTGTATTAAAACGCACATACTCTGCTCCGTGCCTTCCATAGAGAAAAGAAAGCATTAAGACACAGAACTTACCTGCTGCTTCTGTTTCTAATGTACACGTCCCAGCAGGTCCATTCCGCTGTACTTTTCCGATGACAAAGGCGCGTACTAATACTTTATAATGTGTATAAGGTTTCAAATTGTTCAAATCATGTTTCCTCTCGTTTTTATTCAGGTTGATGCAATTTTCGGGACCTCAAGGGAAAAAAAGTGGAAACTTTTAAGCCATTACAAGTCAAGATCACCACGTATTTCATCTGGTGTCTACACGCACTGACTTCTAGCCAACTACAAATGGGGGGACTGAGAAATCAATACATCCTCGCTGTTCAGAAGTACATACTATAACCAGCCATTGTACTGAACCGATTCCATCGTCCTGGACAAACTCAAGCGTTCACACCTCACGGCTTCAGAGATTGAATTTGGCACGTACACCGTTTAAGAAGTTCACCGAGAAGAGGCCCTTCCTTCTGGGCCTATCATGGACGCCGTGAGCTGTGAGGTTCCAGAAGGATGGTATTTCTAAGCCAGCCTTGGACCCCTGATATCAGCTCTTGTGTGGATTTTAGGTGCCAATCCATCCGGGCACCAATAACCAGGTCTACTCGACAGCAAGCAGACGCGGGTCTAGAACACGGTCCCTGGGCTCCACTCCCTCCACCCACTCCTAGCGCTTTCCAAGTCCTGATTTCCTTTTCCCGACACGGAATCAAATTCTATTCAAATTACCTGAATTCAACTGATTGTAACAGAGAGTAAAATTATGAAAATCCCTTGGAGGAGATTCCCAGGTAGCCCTTCCATGTGTTGCATCGACAGAGCCACAGGTAACATTTGAAGGCAGGCCTGGAGCTGTGGAAAAAATGAGAATAAACTATAAACCTGAAGCCAGGTGGTGAAAGACTCTTTGTATTGTGAGCATGCAGTCTGAATGGCCATGTTTTAATTAATCCTGAATTAATAATGACACTTATATTATTTTAAATATAGATTTGTATTGATTTCAGAGAGATGGGAGAGGGATAGAGGGATAGACACATCCATGATGAGAGAGAATCATGGATTGGCTGCCTCCTGCACGCCCCGCACTGGGGACCGAGTCCACAACCCAGGCATGTGCCCTTGACCGGAATCGAACCCTGACCTCCTGGTTCATAGGTCGATGCCCAACCACTGAGCCATGCCGGCCGGACAAGCATGACATTTTTAAAAAAGACAGCCGGGCATATTGAATCTGCTTTAGAGCTCACTCAACGGAATCACGTGTCCCGTGGACCGACATTCCACTTGAACACATTAGTGGCAGCCGTGTCTGAGGGTGGCTGGGTGTACACAGAATATCTATCATCTGTGACAGGCTGCCCAGAGTCACTGTGTGGATCCATTGAGCACAGATCTCATCAAATATATGATCAGGTGTGAGCTACAGCCCACGGTCACCACCGACCGTATCATGGCGAGTTTCACTGCCTAATTATTAGCCAGGTTCTAGCCGGTGTGGCTCAGTGCATAGAGCGTCGGCATGCGGACCAAAGGGACCCGGGTTCGATTCCAGTCAAGGGCACGTGCTTGGGTTGCAGGCTTCTCCCCGGCCCAGGACCTGGGTGCATGCAGGAGGCACCCCATCCATGTGTCTCTCTCACATCAATGTTTCTCTGTCTTTCCCTCTCCCTTCCACTCTCCCTAAAATTCAATGGGGAAATATCCTTGGGTGAGGATTACCAAACAAAAAAATAAAAAAAGGAGGGGGTGTTACTCAGGGGGCAGGGGAATGAGCTGGGCAATGAGTGAACAAGCATCTCACTAGCTCACGCTCTGTTCCCGCCACAAGCACACAACCGCCTCGAGTTTGCAACGACAGCAGTGGCGGCGGCAGCAAAAGACTTGACAGGGTTGGGGCGCCCCGCCAGTTACTTCTAAATTCTCCTTCAAATGTTGATACAAGAGACAAGGACGTGTTCTGAAACCCTTTCGCCGAATCTATCCCATCCGTTTCTGCAGCCCTCAAAGAATCATGGGAACATAAAAAGAAAAGAAATATTACAGGTACGTGTAGTATACTCACGTCCAAAATCTGTTTCAATAGTCTGGATTTTTTCAACAACGAGATGGTTTCCATAGAATACTTTTGAAGAACAAGTGTAATTACGGTGGGGCTCAAAGGGTCCATTTTCAAACTTCTTCTTAGTCGAAGTAAAATTTCCTGAAAGAAGTGAGTATTGCCTATGAATATCTGAAGACAATGCATTGCATTTAACTTTCTTCTGGGATCTCGTATTTGTAACTAACACCCATTAGATTGAAAACCCATGCGAGTCGTCAAAATGATACATAAAAAAATCCTTAAAACGACTAAGATGGTGCCTTCTCTTGCCACGCCCGATCTTAAGGAAAAGAGGAGGAAGCAGAATGGATTTCGGGAGCGTCCCTGATGGAGCCCATGGAGTTAGTTCGTGGTTGGTTCTCAGTTCAGAATGGAGGCTGCCCCCAGTCAGCCATCACCTAACGGGTATTTTAGGTCATTGCTTTCTCACCCGTCGGCTTTCCTCTGGCTGCGTGTGCCACCCCACAGCCGGCCCCATCCCTGTGACAGGGCGAGGGCCACCAGTGGCACCCCCATCCTCTGTGCGTGTCTGTCTCCCCAACTGTGGCCCAGCAGATGGCTTGATGCAAAGGGAGGGAGATGCCAACTCAATCGATTCCCGTAAACAGGACTAAGAAGGCGCCCCATCATTACTCATCACAGAGCAACGGCATCTCCATCGTTGCTCCTCCCCCCGCCCCGCAACAGGAACCCAAATCCAGGTCCCTAGAACAGCGGTTCTCAACCTGTGGGTCGCGACCCCTTTGGCGGTCGAACGACCCTTTCACAGGGGTCGCCTCAGACCATCCTGCATGTCAGGTATTTACATGACGGTTCATCACAGTAGCAACATGACAGTGATGAGGTAGCCACGAAAATAATTGTATGGTTGGGTCACAACGTGAGGAACTGGACTTAAAGGGCCAGAAGGCTGAGAACCACTGATCTAGAAGCTTTGCTTGTGAATGTCGGTGGGAGAGGAGTGGGCTGGCCCAGGGAATGCCCGAGTCCTGGGACCTTAGGATCGATCCTTTCCCTTCTCCTTCTCGCAGCATCTGCGTCGTCATCATTTTTCT